TCTTTTCCCCATTTCTTTCCTCTTCCCCTCACCCCAACCTCCTTCTCTTCCTTTCTATCCAGACATCTGTCCCCTCCTCTCATTAAGCATCTCCCAAGCCCTCTCTTTGTCCATCTGTTTAACTGCCCATAAAGTGGAATGAAATTTGTGGTGCCTGTGTTTGTATTTATATTCCAAGTTGCTAAGGTTACTAGATAGAGCTTTTTGTTCCCTTTTTTTTTTTTTAACTTAGAAACAACAGAGTTTGGCATTTTACATTTTTTCTCATATCCCCAAACTGAATTTTGTTCCCTATGGTGATGAGTGATGCTCGACCAACTTTATTCCCCCCGCTCCCCAGAAGCTGAGGCCCCAGAAACACCACTTGTGGCTTCATTTGTTTTGTGGCTGACCCATAGTGAGCTGGGAGCCCAGAGGACGGGGAAGGCCAATTTAGAATGCTCCTGGGTGCGAGTTGCCAGGAACTTGTGGGTCATGGCCGTCCAAATCTCCACTGATAACGTTTTCTGAACATGCCTGGGAGTATTAGTAAAATGCACCAAGACAGGGTGTCAGAGGAGAGCTGCTGTGTGGGGAGAAATGGTTGAATGGAAGATCATTTGTTCTTTCCTAGTAATTGCTTTGACATGAGTGGTAATTAGCCAACAGCTGACAGACCAGAACTGAAGTGAGAACAAGGCATTGGATTAGGGGCAAAATGCCTCTGCATTAGATAGTTCCTGGCTGCTGTTAGTATGTCGGGCTGTGAGCCAGGGGGGAGCCAGGGGCAGAAGCTGGAGACAGCGTATCGAGTGTGCACTTTGAGGTGCTGGGAAGGGAGTGGGTGGGGGTCAGAGGACAGCCTCTGCCCTCAGGAGCTGGGGAGCAACCTTAGTTCACAGGAACCCTGTATCATTCAATATAGTGTCAGGTTACCTGCTCAGGTAAAAACGTATTTCATTTTCGTCATCAGACTCAACTGCGGTTCAGTTTTGCTTTGCCTGTTAGATTTGAGGACCAGGGTAATGTTGGCTTTGTAAAACAGACGGGTGGGCAAAACTGCCATGTGTTTCTGTGCTCTGGTACAGTTTGTGCCTAGGTCTTTCTTGAGAGTTTGAATGAATTTGCCCATAAAACCATCTGGGTTCAGTGCCTATAGGGGGAGAGGGAATTTTTCAAAGGTTTTGCCCTTTATGGTGTTTCTAGTGTCCCTTGAAACCATTTTGATAATTCGAGTTTTACGGAAGCTTGGTATTTATTACAATAGAATTATAAATCATGTGCTCTTGCATTTAAAAACAATCTTTAATGCATTTGTTGTGCTTATATGTTCTTTGCAAGTCCTAATCCTGAGCATTTATGTTCTCTCTCACACTTAAATTAGGCTGGCTCATCTGCTCTTTTTATTGTTGTAATGCCTACCTTCCCCCTGCCCCCATTCACACACACACACACACACACACACACACACAACCAGCCCTAGGTTGCTAATGTTATCCTGTTTACTAACTCATTAATTTCTGTTGCCACATTTATATTCCTGTTTTCCTTTGGTTTATTTTATTGGCCTTTTAAATATTTTTCTAAAATCTTAAGTTGAATGTTTAATCCATTTATTTTTGTTCCTTTGCATTTGGTAATGAAATAATTAAGGCTATGGATCTTCCTCCTAATATATTTCAGGTCTTATCTCATTTATTTTTATATGTTCTTTACAGTTTTAAATTCTTTTTTGACCTGAGATTATTTTAGAGCGCATTTTCTTTCTTTTTTTTTTTTTTTAAAGATGACTGGTAAGGGGATCTTAACCCTTGACTTGGTATTGTCAGCACCACGCTCACCCAGTGAGCATACCGGCCATCCCTATATGGGATCCGAACCCGTGGCCTTGGTGTTAACAGCACCGCACTCTCCCGAGTGAGCCACGGGCCGGCCCAAAGAGCACATTTTCTTAAAGTTCCAAGTATCTGAGAGTTGGAGACCTTGTATATTTATTTTTTCATTATTAATATTTTGCTTTTATTACTTTCTGGTCAAAGAATGTGGCCTGTGTTATTTATGCCTTTTGCCATTTATTGACATTTTATTTGTGGCTTAAGTATAGCCAACTTTTTTAATGTTACATGGCTTCTTGGCAAAAGATGTTGTCTTTGTAGGATATGATCGTTAATACATCTATTTCCATCAGCTCTTAAATGATTCAGATCTTCTGCATCCCTGTCTTTGTCTGTTAATCAGCGCTAGACTGAAAGTTGGGCCAGCTTTTTAATGTTACATGGCTTCTTGGCAAAAGATGTTGTCTTTGTAGGATATGATCGTTAATACATCTATTTCCATCAGCTCTTAAATGAAATGATTCAGATCTTCTGCATCCCTGTCTTTGTCTGTTAATCAGCGCTAGACTGAAAGTTGTACACTGAGGTTCCTCTGGCCGTCTCTGGACATCCCGGCTCTTGTGTGTTATCATTCCTGTACTGTGCTGCTTGATCATACCGTGTCTCCAGTGCTTTGCTTCATTGTGGGGTGTGTTTATCATCCATCTAATGCCTTTCCTGGTGTAGCTTATGCCAGTCTGAGTAGATTCTCCTCGGTCCCCTCAGCGTTCTCCCTGCTGCTGTTGGAATCCCAGCCTCCCCTCTTAAGATGCCTTTTTTATTGGGCGGATGTTAGCAGCATTTGGCCAGCCACCTGGGGGGATGTGGGTGAGCACCAGGCCTGTAGCTGGCCACACAGGGTTAATTCGTTGTTTCTTGTTATGTCCCCAAGCCACTGCACTAGGGGCCTGCTCCGTACTCAGTTTTCTGTTTTCTTGGCATGAGTGTGCCCGTCTTTCTTCCAGAGTATGGAGCAGACCCTGCAGATCAGGGAGAAGCCCCTGCTGCCCACAGGCTTGCTGCTGAGCATGGCTCTGCCAGCAGGTGGCCTTGGATATTTCGATGCAAGGGGTAGGGAATGGGATACATCCCCAGCATGAAAAAGGTCACACAGGGGGATGCCTTCATCACCCCACTGCCCATTGCTAACCTCCACTCCAGATTGGCAGGTGTTGGTGACTTCCAGCCTTTTTCTCCTTTGCTTCCTGCCACACTGCAGAGCTTTCTCAAGAGTCGTGAGCTAGACATCAGCTTGTATATCTTGATCTGCACTGTATATATGTATCGGCAGTTCCTCCAAGCCTGGGGCATGAGGGTGGCATGCTTTCCTGGTCTCCAGAGATCATGCACGCTTATGGTTCATGGGGACTAGATTCAGGAACAGAAGTGGCAGCCCTCCCCTCCTTCATTGCAGCCTTTTTTTTTTAAATGAAGTACTTTGTAATTTATAGATCTCTTTTGCAATGATTGCCTCGTGGGAGTGTCACACCAACGAAGTAGTTTTGGAGACTAGGTAGAATTATCCCCATTTTACAGGTGCAGAAGCTGAGGCTCACTGAGGAGAAACTGCTCCCCTTAGCTCACGTAACTGTATCTGTGCAAGAGCACCCCCACCTCTGGGAACTGAGATTGAATGGGCCTCAGTGTGAATTCATGATGTCAGGAGCATGTGATGGTGTTGGGGGCTTGAAACCGGCTATGGCAGGAGTATTCATGCCACAGAAATCGGCAGACACTACAAATCAGGGCTCTCCCAGCCCTGTGGAAAGGAAGTTTATCAGCTCCCATTGGGAACTTGAGAGAGTGTCCCCCAAGAGACATAAAGTCACAGGGGTGGAACTTGAGCACCTCAGATTTTTTTTTTTTTTAATTTTAGGAAAACTGTGACTCAAAAAAGCTGTGCATATGATCATCTGGCTATGATTGGCAGAACCAAGTTTCATGGCAACCAATAAATCCATTCCCCCTTCCATTATGCCCACATCACACTGCTCTGAGGGTGAGGGTAGAGAAGTTGTAGGAAGATGGTGGAGGGACCACCTGACTCTGTAGAGAAAGAGACTGGACCCTTGATCGGCACCTGTGACCACAGCTGATGGGCATTTGCAGCAATGGCAGCTAGACTGTGACAACCTCACCTTGTGTTAAGCACATTCCTTTTGCTCTTGGGTTCAGGAAGAAACTCTGTCCCCTGGGAGTTTAGTAATTTGGGTGCTGAGGATTAGAGAGATGCTCCCAACCCATTTCCAGCTCTCAGATACAAGGTCCTGAGAGAGAGTCCTAGCCATGCAAGACCTCCCAGAACCAGGGAAGGAGTGGGAGAAGCCACTGCGATGGCCGGCACTTGGGGGTGCCCATCCATGGCCGCAAAGCATCTGAGCCATGTCTCTGTCCCCACAGTGAATGGATACCACGCGTCAGGGACCCCAGCGCACCCCGCAGAGACTGCCCACATGAGTGTCCGAAAATCCACCGTTGATTCCCAGGTAAGGGGTCCCGCTAAGGGAGGTGTAGGGGTAGCTGCTTATGCAGGCCCAGGAAGGCTTTATTGAAGATGGGTATGACATGGGAGTCCAGGTGGCTACAGCCCAGCTCTGCACCCACGTAGAAAGTGTTTGGTGTATCTGAGTCATTCTAGTGTTCAGTGTTAGGGCCAAGGGTTCTATTTCGCTCTCTGGAGTCTAGGTTTCCCATCACTTTAAGAGGATGGATGGACTGGGCCCGTTTTCTTTTCTCTACCTGACCCCTCCCATCCTTGACTTTACTCAGAATGGACGTTAGTAAAATTTGATCATCTCGTTTGCTAAGCGAGCACAGATAGCGATGGGATGGAAGAAATGGGAGTACGTTTAAGATCCCCAAACTGCTTCCTCATCACCATCTCAGTTGACACTTGTGCGAATGTGTGAGGGAGGGGTCGGTTCCCTTCCCATGTTATACATGAGGTCACTGCAGCTCAGACCAGTCAGGTGACTTGTACAGGGTCACACGGTCACTCCATGGTCAGACTGGACTTGGATGCCAGGTCCCATAGTTTTTGCAATGGAATTAAGCTGCATCTAAGGAATCAAGGACTAGTCTAATTTAGTCTACCCATAAGTTACCAAGAAGATGTTCTTAATGAAGCTTCCACACTCCACCAACATTTTCCAGGAAATAAAATGCCAGACCCCAGGGGTGTTGGTGATGATGATGATGACAGTGACAGTTAACAATGATCATGGTGATAATATTGCTGATGTTAATGGTAGCAATAGCTGCTTATACAGTGGCTTATATGTGCCAGTCACTGAAAGACCCTGTGGTCTGTTAGTACAATTGGCTAAAATGGGACACTCAGTTTTAATATAGGCAAGAGTGTTAATTTTTGGAAACATTATTCTTTCACAAAGCTGAGTATTGGGCTCAGATTCAGTTCTGTTAACTCTGGAAAAGAATTCGAACATCAGTGTATGTCAGGACTTCTTAAATTTTGGTGGACTTCCGAGTCACCAGGGCCTCTTGTTAGAATGCAGATTCTGATCCAGAAGGTCTAAGTGGGGCCTGAGGTTCTGTATTCCCAGCCAGCCCCCAGGAGATGGTGATGCTGCTGGCCTGGGGACCAGGCTGAGTCGTGGGGATCCGGACTTAGTAGCACAGAGCTTGTGTGTCTGTTCCCTTCTCTCTTCTGCTTACGTCACCCATCATGAATCAACCCTGGCTTTGTGTGTTTCCTGCTGAGCCCCCAAACAGCCTTCTCAACACAGCTTCTGTCAATCTGTTTAAAGTGATAGACATTTGTCACCTGACTTGAGAGTGTTTCTGAAGACATCAGCCCAAGTTCTGCTGTGGTTTAACAACAAGAAAAGCTGGACATCATCAGGAAGAATATTGCAAACAGTTCCCCACCCCCCAAATCATTCTTTGTTCCTTAACAGAACATCACTCCCTACACCTGCCTCCAGAAATGCTACAAAGTTCTCACTCAACCATTTAAACAAAGCATACTGGTATAACTCATATCTCAAAAGCTGATTTAACAGTGTGCATTGTAAGCCTTTGACACAGGAATTTCTCTTCCAGTATCTCTTCTTGGAATAGACTCAAGGATTCTGATTTATATGTAAGGCTGTTCACTCAAGCATTATTTGCAGCACTGGAACATTGGATCCAACCTAATTGTCCAGCAACAGGGGATGGGTAAAATGGATTATGGCACTGGACATAGCCAGCCAATGATATTATGCAGCCATTAAGAGCATTCTTCTGAAGAAAATTTTAATGGTTTGGGAAAATGCTCATAACATAACATTGAGTAGGAAAAGCAGAGCACAGGCTGCATGTATAGTCAGTCTTATTTGGGAATAGGAAATCTATTCTTACGGGAAGAAAAATGACTGGAAGAAAAATAAACTTGAGCATTTATGGTGGTTCTGTCTGCATCTAAGACTGTGGTTCTCAACCAGGAGACATTTTGATCATCACACGTGGGTGGGGGTGCTATTGGCATCTAGTAGTAAATGCCAGGGGTGTTGCTAAGTATCCTGCAATGCACAGGACAGCTCCTCACAGCCAGGAATTATCCAGTTTGAAAATGTGTGTTGTGCTGAGGTTGAGAAACCTAGGTCCAAAATCATGGGTAATTTCTGTTTTTCTTTTACTTTTCACTATTTTTCAAATTTCCTAAAATAAATACATTTTACTTTTATAGAGGACTGATATAAATTTTTATTTTAAAAAGTAAAAGCTAGAAGGGAAGTACTTATATTGGGGATTCAGGAAAGGCCAACTCCAGAGACCCAGTCCTGGGTAGGCAGTGACACCTAGACAGGCAGATTTGACTAAGGATTCTTTCAGGATGATCACCTTGAGGGTTGAGGTATCATCAGGGTAACAAAAATAAATAATGCGCTCCAGAGACCCAGTCCTGGGTAGGCAGTGACACCTAGACAGGCAGATTTGACTAAGGGTTCTTTCAGGATGATCACCTTGAGGGTTGAGGTATCATCAGGGTAACAAAAATAAATAATGCAGGGCATGGAGAGGGCAAGCATGCATTTGTCCACCAGTTCCCAGAACTGTGAAGCAGAAAGCCCTCCTTCTACATGGTATTAGAATGTCATTCTTTTAGGGCCGGCCCGGTGGTGCACTGGATAGTGCGCCGCTTGGGAAGCGCGGCGGCGCTCCCACCCGAGGGTTCGGATCCCACATACAGACCGGTTCCCGCTCACTGGCTGAGCGAGGCGCGGGAGCAACACCGAGGGTTGCAATCCCGTTGCCGGTCCCCGGTCCGGTACGGGGGCGACACTGAGGGTTGTGATCCGACACTGAGGGTTGTGATCCGTTGCCGGACATGGAAAAAGACCAAAAAAAAAAATAAATAAAAGAATGTCATTCTTTTAGGGTAACATTTGGATACAAAAGCTACTACTTTTTATCCTAGTTTGTAGAACACCCTCCTTCTAGGTGGTATTAGAATGTCATTCTTTTAGGGTAACATTTGGATACAAAAGCTACTACTTTTTATCCTAGTTTGTGAACGTATGAAACTGCTTATCCAAAAAGGTGCTAACTAAAGGCTGAACATAGATTAAGAAGGTCTGGTGTTTGCAGAGAGATCCCCAACTATCTACAGCAGAGTGGTTTATTCCTACCGTCCCCGGGTGTCAATTATTACTCATAATAATTACACTTAGTTGCAATTGAAACATGAATGAAGGAGTGAGGAATAGAACACATGCCCATTTGAAATGCAGGGTGTGGGGTGGGTAAAATGGCTTGTTCAAGGTCACAGTGATAGAACTCACACTGAAAGACTCTGAAAGGCCTGTTGTGTTCTCTTTCTGCTGCCTGCTAGCTGTGCCTCCTTGAGTGAGCTAATCAGGAAGGTTGGAATGTTGGGAAGAGGGGACAGGCATTCCTAATTTTCATGGAAGCCTCACTGTGCTCTGTCATGGGTAGAACCAGTGGTTGGGTGCCCATCAGTCACTTTGCCCAGCTCAGGAGACTTGGGCGGATGGGCACAGGTGGTGGGGATCTGGTGCCACCCAGTGGAGGGTTTAGGTTCTGCAGCCCTGGGGCAGGCTGCCTGGGTATAGATAAATAGGGTCCACCTGACTGGGGGCAGGGTGAGGGATCAAAGGCTAATAGTCTTGCCAGCCTTTGCAGAAGCAAGCCCTCACCGGTCCCCTTCCTTCCTGCCCACCAGTGCCAGGACCTTTTGTGATTCACCTTTCAATTGTTCTGGCTTCCCATGAGCTTCCCTAGGAAGACTATCTTTAGACACAGGAGAGAGGAAAGAAAATGGAAGTAAGTGCTTGTAAACTGAAGGGACCCACTGGAGGATGGAGTTTAAGGCAGAGAGAGAGGTGAGAAGCTCAGTCTCTACCACCCCATGCCCCTCAACTCAATAACACGTGTTCTGTTAAGCATTTACATCTTTTCCAGGCACTGAGACATCGACAGATATAGCTCCTGCCTTGATGGAGGTTTATAGCTGGTGTGGGAGAAGTTTATTAGAAAAATGATTCCACATGTTCAGCAGTGATGAGGGCTGGAAGAACTGTGTGCTATGAGGACCTAGCCTGGTGGTGGCTGGTGTTGGAAGTGTCAAGAGTGGACTCCTTAAGAAAAGATTCTTATTCTGAGACTGGAAAGATGAGCAAGGGTTTAGCTTGCCAAGAGGTGGGGGCTGGGGAACAGAATTCCAGGTAGAGAGAACAGCATATGCAGATCCCTGGAGGAGCCCAGTGCTTTCAAAGAACCCATAGAGGCTGAGAGTGGCTGTGGCTTACTAAATTGGGGTGGGGGCTGTGGGGGATAGAAGTTGAGGACCCTGCATGGTCTTTATATCATGAGGATCTCATGTTTGATCCTGTTTATCCTGACAGCACTGGGAGGCCATGGAGGGGTTTTATACAGGATCCCACTTGCCAAAGGGGATTATTTGCAGGGGGAGGAAACAGGGCTGAGAAGACATTAGGAACAGTGACTTGCTGAGTCAGTTGTGAGTGACCCACTACAGTTTGCCAAGCACTTTCTGTGCATTTCCACCCACCGGTGGTCCTTAGGGTGACAGCAGGGCTGCCCAGGTAGGGTCAGGACACCAGGCTGGTGGGGAGAGGGGGGGTTAAAAAATAAATGGAGGAAAAGGAGTGTCTGCAACCATAGGCAAAGGAAATTTTTTTTTAGTGTATTAAGAGCATTTGCAAACCTTTACAAAAGTAGAAGGAATACAGTGATAAAGTATCACGGACCTGTCATTTAGCTTCAAGGATTACCCAGCATTCGGCCAATTTTCTTTCATTTATGCTCCAATTTCCTGCCCTGACTCCCCTCCCCCTGCTGGATTATTTAAAACAAATTTCTCACATATTTTAAATGCAGCTATTTCAGAATGTATGAGGGTACTTCAGAAAGAGCATAGAAAAGTAGAATTGAAAGATAGTATAAATCTTTCCATGCCCCTTTTTTTTTTTTTCCTTTTTGTCTTTTTTCGTGACCGGCAACGGGATCGCAACCCTCGGTGTTGCACCCGCACCTCGCTCAGCCAGTGAGCGGGAACCGGTCTGTATGTGGGATCCGAACCCTCGACGCATTACTTGTATTCCTGTCCTGGCCCAAGTTATAGGGAGGAAGAGGGACCTCTGTGTCCAGCCTCATTCCACAAAGTCTTATACACAGTGGTCCCGAGATGACTGAATGTGGATGATGGAGATCTTTTTGTACCCCCTGCAAAGACAGCTGGAAAACAAGATCCTGTCCCAGGTCTCAAAGTGGAGAGATGGCAGAAGATAGAGGAAAGAGTTATGCGGACGTGGGTTCCTCTATTTCCTAGCCTTGTGACTTGAACACATTAGCTTCTGTAAGCTTCGGTTCATGATCTGTACAACAGAGTTGGTGCCATTTAACTGGCAGGCGTTGTAAGGATTCAATGAGATTAAGTAGTTCAAGTGCTGACCCTGGTGCCTGCCGTGGTGGACGAGCACTCGGTAGCAGTTCATGATCTGTACAACAGAGTTGGTGCCATTTAACTGGCAGGCGTTGTAAGGATTCAGTGAGATTAAGTAGTTCAAGTGCTGACCCTGGTGCCTGCCGTGGTGGACGAGCACTCGGTAGCTCTTGCAGCGCTTCCTCCCTCTTACAGTTATCCGCCTCATCCTCTTCCTCATCACCGCCAGCAGCGATGTGTAGTCTCCAGGGCTGTCGTCGAGGCTGCTGGAGTGCAGGTTGCCCTCCCCAGTGGGCTGCAGTGGGAACACAGTGGTGGTGGTGACGTGTGTCCATGACAGGGAGACTCCTGCAAACTACAGAATCCATCCCAAAGGCTACCCTTCCCCCTTCCTGGCATGCATTGGCTTGGCCAGTGTCTCCTCATGGTTGAACCTGTGGAAAGACTTCTGCCCCCATCTCTTCTCCTGGGAGACTGGCACTGGAGCCCCAGCCAAGCAGCCTCAGTCCGCCTTCCTCCCCGGGCAATTTTGGCAAGTGCCCTGGGGAAGAGCTGATATCTTGGGAGGGTCCAGGGTGGGTCAGCTGAATGAGTAATGGATTTAAATGTCTGTGGAAGCTATAGTTGGTCACAAGCTTGACATGGCCCCGGAGCCTGTTGGGGCTGCTAGAGGAGTTGCCATAAATAGATAAAATGATAAAATGACAGAAGGTAGATCAAATCGGTGTGCCTCCAAGCGAGGTCTTCAGGTTCTGCATTGGAGGGTTTGGCCCCACCTGGGACCTGCTGGGGGGTGCAGCTGGGATTCTATTTTGTGTGCTTTCCTCAGTTAATTCTGATACACTTCAAAGCCTGAGGTCCAGTGATAACAACCCATTTTACAGATGGTGAAACCGAGGCTCAAAGAAGTCAGATTCCTTGGCCTGGCTCTCAAAGCTAGTAATCATTTTCTTTTCTGTGACATGGATGATCTCTGAGGTTCTTTTCTCTAGATCTCTAATGATATTCATTTTCATAAGCTGACTTTATCCCCAGCCAAAGTAGAACTGCAGGGGAGTCAGAGTGAGACCATGGCAGGGACACCATCAAGATCACTGCTTAGCGTGATTCACTGATGGCTTCCTGAGCAGGACTCATCCTGCCAGGCTGTTCAGGGTTGTGCTGGCCTGGGGGCCTGGGGGCCAGGGGGCCTGGGCTCACTGGAGAACCCCTCCATGCTTTTTTTCTGGGCTTTATCTATAAAGTGACAGCCTCTTCCCTACTTTCCACCAAAGATAGTGTAAGACTGTGCTTGAGTCCCGGGCACATGTATGACGGTTGCCCACAGTGCCCTAGGGGTAAGCCTGCTTTCCAGTGTGTTGTGTGGCTCAGAACAGGAGACCTCACAGGTCCTGCTCAGGAACCTCTGGTATCGAATCTCTAACATAATTGCTAATGGAACAATGAAGACCTGGAATTGAGCATTCTCTTTTGTGGCATTTTCAGCTGGCAATCCTTAATTTTCTCTGCCAGAACAGCCCTTTGGCAAGCTGCTGAGGACCTGTGGGTTCAGAGTTCTTGGGACTCTGGTTTTCTTGCTGCAACAGGGAAGACATAAAAAGGCAATCCAAAGACTGAATGCAAGCTAAAACTCGGTGTGGCCGAGAAGTCCCTCCTGGCTCACAGGATTGGGAGAGCAGCACGTCATGGAGGTGACCGAGCAGCACCCCAGTGCACATTATGTGTATTTAGGGTTTGATGTTTTGAACCTGAGGGTTTCAGAGTAAAATGTCATGTGCTGAGTCCTCAGTGCCAGGAGGTGGTGGCCTGCAATCTGCCTTAACTCTCTACTCCCCAGTGGATTCTGCCACTTCCAGCAGCAGGCAGCATGCTGAACTGTTTACCAGCAGAGGGCAGTGGAGGGGTTAACTCCCTAAATCACAGACTGCGAGGAGAGGAGGACAGACCTGGTTTGGAGCAGTTCTCTCAGAGCCTGTGCAGGAGGCTTCCTCCAGCCTGAGAGCCAGCACAGGAGCAGCATGAAGTCAAAAACATTCCTGCCTGCCCTGGCCCAGAATATGGTGACTTAGGAGTTACAGGGCGCTTAACCAATCCCTCAGGAAACCTGAATGGGGAAAAAAAAAAAGTCCAATATGGAGAATAGCTTTGACAGTGTTTCTTACCTCTCTCCCCAGAATCTGGGATCCTCGTCACCAGGCAAAAAGCAAAGCAAGGAAAACACCATCACAGTAAGTGGCTCATGCGGGGCACTCCCAGGTTGGGTGGCAAGCTAGGGCATTTGGCCACAGCTGGGCTGTTGCCATGGCAATGTGGACCGCCAAGCAGAAGTGATGACCAGCCTGGAATTGGGGAAGTTCCAAAGCTTGGATTTCACTGAAGTTCCCCACCCCATCCCCACTTTCCCTTCCTCTGTCAATTTCACATTTCTCTTTTTCCTCCTGGAGAATGAGTGGAAGGAGGTGGGACGATGCAGAAGCCATGTCTGCAGGGCGGGCTGGGGGAATGTGTGTGTGTGGGAGCGAGTTGAAGGGGGTGGACTGTGCTGTGTGCAAGCGACGTGATGTGTAAATTACAGCCATGCAGGGTTGCTTTTGTGCATGGTACCTCTGGAAGATGGCAAAGTTAAAAGCAAGAGAAAGCACCCTAAGAATAGAGCTCCTGGGAGTCTCTGATGGGAAGCAAGCAGCTTCTGCCTAGAGTGGCCAACCCACCTCCCAGGCTCTTTGAAATGCCCGCCAAGTCCCCATATGGAGGCTGAAGAGCAGTCTCCCCACCCCACCTCAGCCCTCGGCTCTGGGAAGATAGGGATGGACATCAGTGCCCCCTTGCAAGGGGGAAAGGAGGCATCCAGCTGCTCAAACAGCCACCTACTTGGAGACTCGAGAAGTGTGCTCCTAGGTGTGCTATTTTGGTACAATTTCTGGAGAGCTGGGAACAGGAATTGCTCTCTTAGGCTCCATCTTATACAATCCTAAACTGTCCTGACCAACCCCATGAAGATAAAACCAAGAGTGGGTACATTTTTCTGGCTCATCCAGGCTAAAAAATCCTGCTCTGGGAAAAAAAAAAGTGTTAGGCAAATAATAACAGTAATATCCACTGCCACCTTTGTGTGCATTTATCACGTACAACTAATGTTCCAAGTGGCTCATTTAATTCGCCGCTAACTGTATGAGGTGCAGGTAATAGAGTCAATATCAGTAGAGTATGGTGGTTATGAACCTGAGCTGTGAAGCCAGAGCGTCTCCTGCTCTGGGGAAAAAAAAAAAGTGTTAGGCAAATAATAACAGTAATATCCACTGCCACCTTTGTGTGCATTTATCACGTACAACTAATGTTCCAAGTGGCTCGTTTAATTCGCCGCTAACTGTATGAGGTGCACGTAATAGAGTCAATATCAGTAGAGTATGGTGGTTATGAACCTGAGCTGTGAAGCCAGAGCGTGAGTTACGTCACTTACAAGCCATGCGACAGCCTGGGGCAAGTTTCTCGACATCTTCATGTCTCAGTGTCCACATCTATAAAATGGAGAGATGGGGCGTCTGCACGTAGGAGTGGTGGAAGGATGAAATGGGTTCCTATGTATAAAGTGCTTAGTAAAGAAGCAAGTTTCTCGACATCTTCATGTCTCAGTGTCCACATCTATAAAATGGAGAGATGGGGCATCTGCACGTAGGAGTGGTGGAAGGATGAAATGGGTTCCTATGTATAAAGTGCTTAGTAAAGAGCCAGGCATGCAGTAAGTGCTCAATCCACACTAGTATTATCATCATGCTATTTACAGAAGAGGAGACTGAGGTGCAGAGTAGTACCTTGCCCAAGGTCACCCAGCTAAGAAGCATCAGGATTTGAAACCTATGCCTGTACCTGCCACCAGTGCCCTCCTGGAGCTGGCTTGGGTTTCTTGGATCATTGACGACTCTGGACCTCCCTATGCCAGTGGAGTTTGCCTCCCTAGGGCAGGATGGCTCGGCCTGCCTGGACCGTGGGGCAGCGGCAGCCTCAGTGTTGCTGGTGGAGCTGATGGGGCCAGGCAGGGCATATGCAGGCCCCAGGTGTGCAGACTTGCAGAGGGCACAGTCCCCACCCTCAAATTGTCACAAAATGCCTCAGAGTGCTGGGGCAAGGCAGGAGCTCCCAAAAGTTTCCTGAAATGGGGGGAAAGGAGGCAGAGGAGAAAATGAGAGGGACTTACTAGAATTCTAGAAGAAAAACCAAAAGGGGCAATAAGAAGTGAAAAGCAGTGTGTGTTATGCTGCCCGGAGTTGCCTGAAAGGCCTGCAGTGGTGGTGCCAGCCCACAGGGTAGGGTACCTGCTGGGCCCTGTCTTATGGCTAGAGCCTCAGGTTTTGTCAGAGTGGGCTGATGTAGCCCTGGGCACGCCTTGGGGCAGTGCACCTCATCCGTCCCTTCCTCAGTGGCTGCCCCGTTTCTTCCTGCTGACCTGCATCGGTGCTTCTCACAAGGTGATCTGCAAAATGTCATCGGCATCCTCGGAGCTGAGACACTTGCTTAAAATGCAGATTCCTAGAGGGTACCCCAGACCTACAACTGGTGTCCCTGGGACAGGCCGGGTAATCCGTGTTTTCACCAACACCATCCAGAGGTTTTAAACAAACACTCATGTCTTGGAGAATTTTTGCTGGGGAAACTGAGACAGGGGACTGGCCAAACATCACAGAGCAAGTGAGGAGCAGCACTCAGGACTTGAACCCGGGACTCCTGGCTGCCAGCCCAGGACGTTTCCCGTTGTACCACCTGGCTGCCACCACCCTGTGCCTCCCCAAGCTGGTGGGCTTCCTTGCCGGTGGGCCGGACTGAAGACTTCTGTACTGCAGCTCCTTTCCCTTGCACACAGCACCCTCTCCCTGTACCCAGCCCCTTTCTGTGGTTCTGCTCCTCCAGAGCTCATGGTTTCCCATAGAGCAGACACTCAGAAGGAAGGGACAGCTCTGCCCCCAGGAGGCTGGGACACAAGCCTCCCTCCCCGTGGTGTGTGGGAATGAGATGAACAACCTCCCATGCTGTCTGATCCCATGGAGCAGAAATTGCCAGGCCTGGGGGCGGCAAAGGGTGGTGTGTCCGGGCTGAGGAGCAAGGACTGAGCTTGATTCTGAAGCCCCTGCCTCCCCGCCCCTGACCTGGGGCTAGTTTTGCAGGGTCAGGCGCAGGGGCCACCTGACAGCAGGGTGCAGGGCTGGCAGCCTGGCCTGCTCTTGTCCCTCCTGTTGCCCGTGCTGGGCTGGCAGGTGAGTGGCTGTGATTGGGAGTGACGGGTGCTAAAAGCAGCTCACAGCCCTTGGCAGAAGCATGATGTGCCAGAACCTGGAGGGTTCCAGAAAAGATGACAGCAAAGCCGCCTGGCCACACACTCTCCTGGAAAGAGGAATCTGGGGACTGCTGGGTCCTCAGCCTCAGCTTCCCAGAATAGCCTGTCTGCAGCCGCAGGCCCTGGGTAGGAGCTGGGGGTCTGGGGTAGAACCCCTGGGCTTGTTTCTGCTTCCACAGATCCCAGCTGGCATTTTCCTCTCCCATGCCCTCCCGGATGGGTTTCCCTCCAGCGAGGTTCAGGATCTGTGGACTTGAGGCCTTGGCTGTCAAGCCACCTTCCCTCTGTACTTCAGGCACGCTGCCCTCCAGCCCAGCCCAGAGCTGGATGTGGGGAAGGGGGCATCCTGACCCCAGACCCTGCAGGGGTCACACTTGTGTTCAGTGGCTCTCATGTAGTGGCCCCCAGAGAGTTCCTGGGGGCAGCCCTTGTTCTGGCCGCTCCTTTGCAGAATGGCCCTGGCGGTTCTCAGCTGCACAGTGGACACCCCATCCATTTATGTGAGGGTTGGAGAGAATAGAGTTGGTCCGAGAGTGAAGGTGCAGCTGGTTTGGGGCTGGCGATCTCAGAGGAAGTGAGCGTGGGGGCAGCTACCGGGACTCCCATAAACAGTACGCACTGGGAGGTATCCCCCTGCCCTGCTCTCTGCCGAGCACCCCTTCCTTCCTGAGCCCTTGCCTTGTGTGGGGGTGTGGCACAGCTACATCCAGCGTGTTGGAAAGGTAGTGTGATGGAGGCTAAGAGCCCAGACTCTAGAGCCAGATTGTCTGGGTTCAGACCTTGGCTCCACCATTACACATAGGCTCTGTGGTCTTGCATAAATTACTTAACTTCTCTGTGCCTTAGTTCCCTCATCTGTAAAATGGGAATAATTATGAGGATCATTGTGAGGATTAAAGGAGTTAATATGTGTAAAGCACTGAGAACAGTGGCTGTCACATTACTAGCTGTTGTTGAACGGAAAGTGGCTCTTTACGATGTCACCTGTGTTTGCAGGGTGGAGGATGGAATTGAGGCTCCTGCTGTGCCTGAGAGGCCTTGGGAGGAGGACAAGCTCTTTCCCAGAGGTGCAGCTGGACCCTGGTATTAACCGCCTGGAAAATGTCACCCAGGAGGGGTCAGGAATCCACATGTGGAGATTTCCATGGGGAAAGGTCTGCCCACCTTCTCTTCCCTCCTTGGGCTCCAGAGCTCTGCTGGATGGAGCCGTGTGGTCCTCCCAGCCCTTCTGATCCAGGTACACAGGAGCCTTGACTTTGAGGCCTGGAGGTCACAGAAGGACAGGGCGAGCTGCATGGTAGTGGGCTAGGGAGTTAACCTGTCTGTGCCTCACGTTTCCTGCACCTGTGCATGAGTTTGCTCTAGGCTGTTGCAGATAAACATTTCAGCTCTGATTGCTTGCTGGACATCACACACCACACAGCTTTCACTGTCTCCCTTTGCCAGCACCACCTTCCTCTCTCTGGGATTAACTTTTTTTTCCGTTTCCCGTCCCAGTGGATGGACATTCTTCTCTCCTCCCAGGCCAGTCAACTCGGGGTTCTGAGCCTAGACACTGTTGACCTGCTGGATTGGATGGCTCTTTGTTATGGGGGGCTGTCTTGTGCATTACCGGGTGTTTATCAGCATCCCTGGCCTCTATCCACCAGATGTGATAGCAACTCCTCTCTGCCCAGTTGTGACAACCAAAAGTGCCTCCACATGGCCAGATCTTCCTTTGGTGAGGGCAGATCACCCCTGGATGAGAGTCACCAAATCAACTTCATAGTGCTAAATCTGTCTGCAAAGTACCCCTAGGTTCATATACTTATCCCCTCTTTGCTGTGCTGCTCCAAGCCACTGTCATGACTCCCCCAGATCGCTGCAAAGCCTTTTCCAGTGGCCACAGTCATATTCTCC